CCTGCTGCTCTCTCACTGAATAAAATACAGATGCTTTTCCTCTTGCAAAATTAAAAGGGAACATTAGAGGGATATAAATCCAGACAGAAAGGGAATATACTGATTAGTAAAACACGTGCAAACAGAAAAGTTGCACGTGTGGTTTGCAGTCTGAGGAAAGAGAAGGGGCATGCTGAATTCAAAACACTTGGGTCTCATTCTCCACGTGCATTTTTCTTTCCTTGGCTTCCTCTCTCCCTCTGTCAGGATAACAGTTGTGTCTCTTGTAGCTGAGCCGACACAGGAAATCAAATACTTTTGTGTTTCTATAAACTATACTTCTCAGAGAGATAACACATCTAGAATTAAAACACTACCACAAACTATTAGGAATTTCTGATTGTTATAGGTGTTGTTAAAGGACTCCGGTAGCAAAGATCAAAGTCTCCAAATTCTGCCTTTGGAGAAAGGAGTTTCATTTCTGACATCAAAGGTGAGGCTCTCAAGTCAATTTATGCTCTGCTGGGTTGAGTCAGTCGGGATACAAATTAAGGTCCATATATTTCAGTGACAAGGAGGAAACGGTTATGTAAATACACAAGTATTAACATCAATCTGTATTAAATTATGTAAACATATACATCTTCTGAGGTCAGCACATAGATCCTCTTCTTTGAGCAGAGCTCTACTGAAGCATTGCTCGAATCTGTTTGGAAGTCGATTCATCATTCAAGTGCTTTGTAGTGAACCTGGATGGAGAGAGAATGATGGAGGTCAGCCGCAAACAGCGCTCTGTGAAAGCTTCAGTAATGACTCACCAGCCCATCTTTACCTTGGGAAACACAATTGATATTTATAAATCAAATGCGGGCTCAGCTCTAAAGAACAAAGAGCCACACTTCAATGCTCACAGTGTTCTCAGACAGATTTAATATTTGATTCTTCTTTTCTATGGAATTTTGTAATACGGTTATTAAACCAAGTAGACTTTTTTACCCAGTCAAATAATTACCCAGAGGAGATATAGGCAATCTCATTTTCCAGAGAGGTGAAATTCACATAACTGAGTGCAGAATATTGACCATTGAAGCTACCCCTGCTGAGTCACAAATATTAAAATATGGAATTGTCAAGCAATATTACCCCCAATTTAAACTTGATGGTTCTCTACTTTCACAGCAATGCTTATCCTTATTGCTACCACAAGGGGGCACAAATGTAGGTAAGCAAATCTCAACACTGGTGCAGTCCTCGCCTCCCATTAACCTGGTGTAAAAAATCATTTATGCAAAGGAAGAGAAGAAATAACAAGTACTGAAACTTCGTCCATGTCCCCCAGGCATTCCATGTAGGTTTTCATTTCAGTCACAATAGCTATTTCCAGGAGAGGCTATTGCCTTCATTATACAGGTAAGAAAACTGCGATTTGGAGCTGGCAGGGGCATGCATGGTGGTTAAGGGAGCTGGACACCCACATGGCCGACCATGCTTTGAGTTCCGGACTTGCAACTTGCTTTCTCGCTTTCTCTCCCCTCTCTCTCTCTCTGTCCCTCTCTGGCCAAATTAAAATAAAATAAACAAATAAAATTAAATAAAAATAATTCTTTAAAAAACAAACTGAGATTCAGAAAGATTAAAAGACTCATTCCAGATCCCAAAGTTGATTTGTGATGTGTGAATAATTTGTGATGTCTTATTTACATCTAGATCTGGTGACTTCCTACATGGCCAACTGTGGTTGGAATCCTGGACCTCCTGGCTTGCTTTCTCACTTTCCCTCT